GATGAAGAGAGAGAACACTAACCTTGCTTGAGGTGACACCAAAAAGCTTCTCAGCAAGTGTCTGTCTGCAACCGCGATCTCGCCTAGAGGAAGCCACAACCACATGTCAGAGCGGGGAAGATGGCCACAGGTCGTGTTCATCACCCGATGCGGAGTTCGCGAATGGAAGCAAAATTTTGTGAATGCTGCTGTTCGCGAACCAAATTGTTCGTGAACAGAAGCGTTCATGAACCGAGGTATTACTGTATCAGGTCAGTAATTACCCAGAACACCTGTGTCAAGCAATGGCATCTGGAAGAGGGGTTTGCCACCTTATAGAACAATGTATGCTCTGTGCTTATGTAAAGATATGAAAAGCATCTGAGAAATTAATTAATTTGGAGAAGTTTGAAGCAGCACCAAGCAGCAGCTGATTCTCTTAAATTCAGCATCAATGGACCGATTGTTGGGACACTGACAATCTAGACCTCTCCAGATAAGGCACAGTAAAAAATCCTAGAATGGAAAGATAAGATTTTTCATGATGTTTTCTTTTTGTCTCATAAAATACTTTTTTTAAAAAAGGAAACTAATCTATAGACAGAGATGCCTACTTATTTGTAATATCTTTATTTTTTACACTCCTGGTAATTTTTCTGCTGTCTTATATTAAGAAGTGCCTTCACAGGATTCTGAAAGCAAGATGGCTCTCATGCCAAATTTGCAAGGTCAAAGGGGCTGCAGTAAATTTCCTTGAGTGCTTTAACTGTAGGTTTTATTTTATTTACTTATTTACCAAATCATGGCTCCTTAGAGAAGGAAAGATTTATGGGAGAGTAATAAGATGCATTTTTCTCTAAACATACCAAAGAAGGTAAATGTTGCAGCTTAACTGATTATGAATGCTGAGATTCAGTTTTAACCAAAGGACCATGAATACAGTGGCATGTGAGGTTCTCACATTTTGCCATGGGAAAAATTGACTTTTGTTTTATTTATTTGTCTGTTTATTCCCACAGTTGAGTCCTATAAGATATAATATTTACTTTTTTGTAATCTGCTCATCTGAATATTAAAGGGAAAGATTCAAATGATGCATATTATTAGCAATAGAGGAAATGATCCAACTAACCCTACTTCTTGATTCTACCTCTATGATAGTCTTCTAATACACAGAAAATTTATAATTTATGTGCTATCAGTTATGGCAAATAATGATTGGAAAACCATAAATCTAGGAGTTTTGGTATCATTGAATACTGACAAGTATGAAAACCCTTCATGTGGGTATCTGAAATTATGCCTGCACTATCACTTGTTTTGACTTTTACAAGGTGTTGTTAACTCATTATGACATTCTTTGCCCACAGGCTTATCCTTGCACTAATGATAAAGAATGTGAAGTTGGGAAGTACTGCCATAGTCCCCATCAAGCTACATCTGCCTGCATGGTTTGTAGAAGGAAGAAAAAACGTTGCCACAGAGATGGCATGTGCTGTCCTGGAAACCGCTGTAACAATGGTATTTACATTGCTCTTACTTTAAAAAAACACATGAATAGTGTAAAGTATTTTAGTGATTGATCCTTATATTTGTTCTTCAAGACTTGCCACGTAGAAAGAGAATTCATTTTGGAGACATCAGTGGTCACCCTAGAATGAGAGAAGGAGATGCAGAAAGAGTTGACCTTTTGAATTCATGGATTATCAAAATTGCCATGGAATTTGCTTCCACATGACTTAGACACATGCATTCCTTCTTAATCCATTACTCCACTGTTTCTCAGCAGTTGCACCTACTAGAGAAGTTACAAGAAATTAATACAAGACAATGGATACAAAGTCACCAGAGTGCTTTCCTGGCAAGCGCATCGGGTTGATACAAAAGCATACTAAATGCATGAGATGGTTTCAGAGCCCTTCATGAAGACTGAAATTCTTTTCTGGTCTTTTTAACACACCACATTTTCCTTTCAAATGAGGAGTGATTGTATCTGGAGGACATGAGGCTTCCTTGCAAAGTTCTGACCATCTCACAACTCATTCCTGCAGAGGGAAAAATAACAGAGAGGAAGAAGAAGGGGTGATAAGTTACAGCAAGGAGAAGAGTAAGGGGAGAATTTTGTAACCATCAAGCCCCAGGCTGGAAGGGAAAGAAGCTGAGCTGTTTGTTATCTCAGTGTGGCTATACTGGGGGGAAAAGCACCAAAAGTTACTTACAGCCTGCCACTGTTTTGCACATTTTAAGAGCAGTTTAGGAGAAACTTATTGAAGGCCATGAAATAACCTTTTCTCTCTCCGCTCCCCTCCCTCATTTGATGAATTAGAGTGAAGAATTATCTTCAAAAATAAAACCCAGATTTCAGGAGTTACACCAAAATATTGAAACTCATCCTTCCTATTAAAGATATGGTTTTAATTTTTATTGGAAATTTCTTTATTTCCAATTATTTTTTTTAGTAAGGTCGCAAGGTCATATCATTGCTTTGTTTGATATATAACTTAAAATTTAATTATTAAAAGTAAGTGGTATATTTATTTCTTGTCCAGCCTCAAAAAATCATTAATTTTATTCATGGAGGTCACAGACATAATGTTATCATTTTAAGGGGAATGATATTACAGAGCTTGAGAGGCATTGCACTACTCCAATGAAAAGGACTTCTGTCCTGCTCCAACACTGGGCATACTGTTTTGCCAACCTACAGACATCAGTGTTAGTATCAGTCTCTTCAGGAAAGAAGTCTATTCATGCACAGGCTTCCATGCTGTGCAAAAATAAACTTTTTGAATTCTCCATCCAATTTGCGGGGAGTTAAATGAGGCAACATTTTCTCTCTCACTCTTCCAGATACGCACCCATGCTTTGGCTATCTTGCAAGTAAATAAGTGCAGTAACATCTAATTTTGATCACGTCCTTTGAAATAAAATCTATACTTATTTTTCCTTCAACAAATTGAACGATTGCTACAAGAAAAAAGTGCTACAAGATAGTGCTTTCCCTGGGACTATCATAGTATTGGGACACCAGTATGATTGGAGATCTGGTATAGAATCCTATATGAAAATCATTACTTCTACTTTGTAGATCTGGAATCAGCAACATAATATCCATGGAATGCCCCCAAATTTAATCATTATCATTATCATAATAAGAATTTAATTGAATTTAATAGCTCCAAATCTTATGAGATATCACCGTTCTTCCCCAAAATGGGATGAGTATTCTACATTTGCAGATTTTGAGGGGAGATGCCGCAGGCCTGAAAGAAATTGATGAACTGTTGCATATAAACAGCGCACACCTGTAAACTAGCTAGAAAGCACATAAAGAGAAAGGGCTGAGAATCAATTCATCAGTAATGGCAAGATGTTACCTTCACACAAATACTGGGTGAATTGGGCTTCATCATCTGAAACATCTTGCTGACTAGAAATATATATATAAACATGTGGGTGGAATAAAAAGTGTAATACATTAACTATTGTCAGCCATTGATATTTAGCAATATCTAATTTCCTGTACGATAGTTTCTACTGAAGTTTGGATTTAAGGTAATTAAATGTATTGTGTTGAGTCAGAATTGCTTTTTAAAGTAACATTGGCAGGGCATAAAATCCTGAAGTAGTCAGATGGTTCTTCAACTTAAGGCTTTTGTTTTGTCCTTTTTTCCCTTAAACCAAAAATGGGCTCAATATTTTAATTCTACCCATTCCAGGGGTGGTCTGGGGACTGCAAAATGAGACTGTACAGATGCATGGGATCTACTGGCTGCAGGTTGTCCAACCTTACCTTCAAATTGTTCTTCCTCAACTTAATGACTGATGGACGTGTTAAATCCCAGAATTATATTGGTTGGGAATAGGATTGAAGTTTCTAGGTAAGGAATCCTGCTAAAGATCAGCCTCAGCCTAAGTACCCCAACTGCAGTTGCTGATAATAAAATGAACCAATGTTGTATGGGACAGCCATGGAAGATATCAAACAAGCAATGATCTGAGTATTCACTTTCTTTATGAAAATTGATAGGTTCTGACTTGTTTTATTCATTGATTTAGGTATTTGTATAGCAGTGACTGAGAGCATTCTCACACCCCATATCCCAGCTCTGGAAGTACCTCACAACAAAAAAAATAGTCGCTATACCACCAAGGATTTGGGCTGGCAGAATCTAGGGAAAGGACAGTCTAAACTGACACACGCAAAAGGTAGGATGGTCTGCTTCATAAACAGTCCCAAAAAGGTCTTCTGAAAAGGGAAGAACATCTTCCTGCAAAAGCAGTAGATTTGTGCATTAACATTTTGAATCTCTTTAATGCCAGTCTTACTTGGGGAATGGGGAGCAAGGAGGCACTTAGAAAAATGGCATCTCTTTGAATGTTGATAATGGCCATTTCTATATCCTCTGAGTTGGTCCTGTGCCCAGCTTTATAAAAGATCATCTGTTTGAAGGCATCTTCTCCAACTCTGAATACTGGGAAACTTTTTTTCATTGAGGACCACATTCCTCAGGAATAATCAGTTTGAAATTTGTGTGTTCAAAGTACAATGGGATTCTAATTTATATATTGACACACTGGCAACTATTTCAGATAGGAGTTGTATAGCAAATTCCTTCTTATTTAAAGCAATGAGAAAGGGGTGAAAGGAATAAAAATGGCCACCAGTATTCTGCAAGTTCCACAATAAATGGCAGAGTTTAGGAAAGGGAGGTGTCTTCATTTCAGCCAATGCTACTCATTTTGGAATTTTTCTATATGACCATAGTCTTAAACATACTTATTTAGTAGTTCTTATATAAATGTTCATAATTGAGCTACATATGTAATAAATTATTTGCTTGTTTATTTATTTAATAGAGATCACCATAATATAGATCTCTGGGCTACACCAGAGATTTCACATTTCTTCTGTTACAAAATATATAGGAGTTCATTATGTATAGGAGGAGCTCATTCCTTCTTATCCAAATCTGTTCTGGAGGTCCCCAACCCCCTGAAACAGATTTGAGAAGTGTACAGAGTATGAAAGATGTATTAAGAGTGGCACCATTGGGTTCTCTCTTAATATGTAACTAGTGGCTAATGGTCATGTAAATAAGGTTTGAATAAAGTTTGATTTCAAACAAGTTAGTCAACATTAAGTCTTACTGAAAATAGTGTGAGAAAATTCTCACATTTTGCTATTGCTATCTTCCAGGAAGTTTTTTCAACTTCCCAGTCTAAATCACAGCCCTGATATTTCCTGGTGGTTTCCCATCCCAATATATATCTGATTTGGATAAAACCAAAAGAGAAAAATGTATGAAAGACTTTTCTACATGTTTAGTAGACATTGCATCTTCCTTCCTCTAGATAACAGTGAAACCTGTGATTACTTGGGAGTTCCTGCATAATTCATAGAGATAGTTGACAAAGGCTGCAATCCCATGTAGGAAGAGACCTCATTAAACAGGCCATTTTTACTATTAGCCACGCTCCTGAAAGACGAAGTTCACCAACACCTGGAGGGCCACAGATCCTCTACCCTGGCTTACAGATTATTGTATTCTGGAAGAGGGCATGACTGGATAGCAAAACTCTTATAAGGGAATGGAATATATTCTGTTAAGGGAAAGGAATGTTCTCAAAATATTGTTGCCATTCAATTTGACTTCTGTAACATAAATAGAAAGTTCTCTTTATATGGCCTGAAAGATGAACGAAGATATATTTGAACAAGTTTATATTTATCAGAATATACTTAGAAAATAGATACTTAGTTGCTCTGTTTGCCCTTCCTAGGGTTACTAACTAATGCACTTGCTTTTTTTTAGGTCATGAGGGGGACCCTTGCTTAAGGTCCTCTGATTGCACAGAGGGGTTTTGTTGCGCTCGTCATTTTTGGACCAAAATTTGCAAGCCTGTGCTACACCAAGGAGAGGTATGCACCAAACAGCGGAAGAAAGGTTCCCATGGCTTGGAGATTTTCCAGCGATGTGACTGTGCCAAAGGGTTATCATGTAAAATCTGGAAAGATGCCACTTACTCTTCAAAAGCAAGACTTCATGTGTGCCAGAAAATCTGATGGGGGATCTGAAGATTGACATTGGCAGGCCTTGACATGTCTGTACTGCATAGACTGCTGTGGGGTGGGAAAAAATCATTGTAAATAAGAAATGACTGGCCCAGGGAAAAAGCATCATTCCCAAACAAGTTATAATTCTGCCTGAAAGTAAAGATGAGAGCAGATGGCTGTTGTTTTTAGTGTGATGCCATTATACCAGTGGGGCCAAGATTTACAACAAAGCTCGACTGATCGTCTTGCAACTTCTCTATATTAGTTGTAGTTAGTTTCTCCCACTTTGATTGTAAAATAAGATATATTTACAATACAAAGCAGGACTTTGCCAAAATATGTTTCTATCAATGCATTCTTGTGTACTGAGTAGCAACAACAAAAGTCCCCAGTAAACTAAAGGTATATACAGTAGAAATAAAGGAGGAAGTTACTGCATATGTAACTATGGACTTTATCTTTTAACAATCCAAGGCTCTCACTCGCATAGGGATTTTTAGCCTCCATCAAGATATATGTTACTTTGAATAGAGGCAATTAAGCAAGGGTGACGATCTAGATTCATATAATGATATAACCATTTAGACTTCATAACTCGAACTGATCCTTCTTCATTTACTGTACCCAGAGGCTTCCATTATCTTGGTTTATTGATAGCCACATAGGCTAACAGAGAAAGCAAACTGATGTTCATTGATACATCCTAAATGGAAAGTTATGCTAAGCTGCTAGTTGTAAATACTGGAGAATGGAGGTTTGCATTATGACTTATTCAGTTTTTCCCCTAAAGTGGGCATTCAGGAACATTAAATCTGTTCTACTAAATCATATGTCAGTAAGGGTTTTAGGTCAGATGGTGAAGCATGATATGGCAGTGACAAAAGAAAATAATGGTGAAAGCATTAAAAGTACTGAGGTTAATACGGAGGTGTGTCATAAGAATATGGTGAATATATTTCAAATGCACCTTAGGAATGTGGTTGGCATTTCCACTACTGGATTGCTGTACATTTATCAATGGACAGCAGTGGAGTTCACTACAGCAATATTAATGGGCTGGGAAAAATGGACAATGATTTCTGCTCTCTCCCTCCCCACACAAAGCATCTCACTGTGCTGATATCTCCATGGTATGATCTGGGTTAAATTTAGAAGGCTGGATGGTTCCCCTTTGCTTAAAGGGGGGAGAGAAGTTTGTATGTGTTTCAAGTTCTCTTGATTTTTGTTTTATTCTGGGGGCTACTTGATGTGAGTTCAATATGCTGGGGTAATATGTCATTTGTAATATCTGTTTAAAATGGAGCAATCAAAGCTAACCAAGACAACAGTAACAACAATGTGTTTTGTAGCTGGCAAGGGTTTTTTCCCCCTGACTTTCTGAGGCCATTAAATGACCATGTGTTACAAAAATTAAAGTTTATCTGTAATTAATTTATATTTCCAAACCTCTGAGTAAATATCAGCCAAATGCTACATGTTTTTCATGTCTATTAAAAAAAACACTGTCAAACAATTTTCAATTTCTGTGCCAAACTGCAACTTCAGAAAGTACCTAAAATTATCTAAAGGCATATGGTAGTGGTAAAATTATTTGGGACCTGTTCTTCATAGTTTCTGTACAAAAAAGGCAAGAAACTGGATTTTGGCAGAGGTGTTGATAATTCTCTGTTTTTGCTTTAGAAACAAAATTATATGGAATTCAAGAAAAGCCATAAAACTGTACTAACAGTATAGTTGGTAGACTCCTTATTCCAATATTCATAGGTTACTCTATGTTCTAATTTCCTCCCATACTATTCATGTAGTTTATTATAATGTACATGATCTAGGAGGAAAATTGGATATTACATGCAAATTTGTTTTAGACAGAATTGTTTAAAATGAAAAGTAGCTTTGGCAGATCGTAGAGAAACAATGCAAGTTTAGCTTTGCCTGTTTGTGATTGTTCTGCTCAAAATATTCCCAAAACATCCATCCATGTTCCTAATATGTATTTCTTTTGGCAAAATTCTCACTGGAACTTCATTCAGAAAAGCAGCTTGGGGGAAAAAAATGAGAAAACCGTTTTTTAAAAGAAGCTCATTAATTGTTTCTGCTGCAAACAGATTATTAGCCCTGAAGCACCTGACTGAATATTTAATATTTCTCAGTAATAAGAAGCTTAAGTGGAGAGCTTATTTAAAGTTTAAGAAGAACTGATTTGGAAGTTTACTACAAGAAACTCTATTCAGTTTACTTCATTACAATGAAAACAGGATGATCGTGGGCAAAGTGTATCACTTCCTTTGCTTAAATAAGGGAAGCAGGTAACTGACATCCTTTTACTTTGGCAAGACTATAGAAAGAGTCCTTGCTCTTTCAGCACAGCTAGCAGTTACAAAGTACATCCCTGACTCATTGAACTGTTGTCTGCATGGCCTTCCCCATTTTATTTCCCCCCATATCTAGTATTTGAAGTAATTTATTTACAGGAAATGTTTAATGAGATGTATTTTCTTATAGAAGAGATTTCCTACAGAAAGCTTTGTAGCAAACTATACTTGCAACTTGTTGACTTTGTAATTTAGAAAGAAATGTATAATAAGATTAAATATATTAAAATCTTTCTTTTTCCACACTTTTTCATTGTATTTTTTTCTCCATCTCCTAAAGGGGAATGCAGAAGAGGGAGCTATGTAGGAAAAGTGATACATCACATTCAGAATTTATCGGAATTAGTAAGCAATGGTCTATTGTTAATCAGAGTCAGCTGGAATTCCTGGCATTGTTCTGTTTCTGTCTCCATGGCACCACTTCATATATTGAGATATTGATCATGTCTATTTCAATCTCAATGTCTATATCAATCTCTTCTTCACACTAAATGTACATGACTCTCAATAATTCCTTACTTACTTAGCATAAGAGAAAGCATCAAGGAAGAGGTGAATTAAGAGCTCCTTTTTCTTTTCTCCCAACAATTGACTGGTCTTGAAGTCTGTCTGGGTCCCTGTTGTGGCATTTGGTATGCTGCCAAAACTATTACATTTTGCTTAGTATTACTCCGCCCATCTCAGCCTTTTGTGATCTGAACATCTGACTGATGACTACTCAAAAAACCTAATTCCTCATTTTTTATTTAGTGGGATATATATTATTTTCCTTGATGTGTGTCAGTCAACTTGATACCCTTAGGAAGGATGGAAAACCAGAGATAAATATAAATCAATAATATATTTGGATTCCTTTTTCTCTATTTCCTTTCAGAATAATGTAGCCACTTGTTTGAACTATTTCCACAAGCCAGAATTTTTTTACAGAATGCACAGAATTGTATGGCTCTGGAAGTATCATAGGTCCTGGAAGATAGCCCATACTTTTTTTATAGGATTATACATTTTCAGAAATAGAGAACTCAATCATTGTGAATTCTTTATTTTTCCCTGCAGGCCAATGTCTGGATGTCTCTTCACTTCTGTCAAGACTCTGACCATGCATTCTTGATACGTTCCATATAAACAGAGCCTTGTCCATGCCCTCCCTCCAGCTATCTGATTTTCTATAATCTTACCTGATGAAGATGTCAGAATTTTTCCCAAATGTTTATGCACATGGCCTTGCTGTGTATTTCAGAATTTTCATACAGACCAACACAACTTGTTTCATTTTTAAAATGAAGTTGCGTTAGCATAAATATTTGAACTTATAACCTAATTGCAGAGACAACTGAATTTTGCATGCCTATGATCATTGCACAAGGATGCTAAACTTCTGGAGTTGATACTTTTTTGAGTGCTTTGTGAAGAAGGACGACCCTACACCCATTATAAAAATCCTGTGTGAAAACCCATTTCTGTGTAGAAAATTAAACAAATCCTACATTTATGTCACTATTTGTGGCAATCATACATACAAATGTAGAATACTGCAAATGTGTGAAATATGATCTTCATGTGGGAATTTATACATGTATGTAATTTTGGTAATGTGTGAAGCCAACTCTGAGAAGCATACTTGTTTTAATCTCTCACTGCAATCAGTTGTGTTCTCTTTGTACTGTAAATCTAATGAAAGCATAAAGTTGTATGTTACAGTGGATATAGATTTGGGAATTCATTTAAGTAAATCTATGCAGGATTGTAGAATGGAACCAAGTGAAATCAAGCAAAACATGACTAAATGTTATATGCAAGCAAAACATGACTAAAACTTAAATTCTTAAGATAATCATTTCGTAATATGAGCCACTGAATACAGTGGGAGTAATTTTGAGTAACCATACACAGGACTAGAAATTTGCAATTCTATCTTAGAAGTCAGTTCTAGTAAAGTGACTTGGTTTTCATATAAGAAAACAAGAAATGTGTAAAGTAAAAAAAGTAAATATGTTCCTGTTTTAGTGCTAGGTTATAATTTATTAGTCCTTTTTCTCCAGATGGAATACCATTCACATGAAATGTACATTCATTCTCATAAATCATACTGGTGCATAAGTTCACCTACTCAAAAGAAGGATAAAATCATTTCAAATTATTTTGAGTCAGAAAAGAAGAAGTTGCCATTTCCCTTCACTTCTAAAAGTGAACCGCCAATGCTTTCTTTGAATAAAAGCTACTTCTCAACTTCCAATCTAGTGAATTCAATATTCTGGTCTAACTAGAAAATTGAACCCAGGAAGTAACAATGAAGCCAGGTTATACAGACAGGATGTGCAAGCTTTCTTCTAAAATCAAACTCTAATGTTAGGAAGAATTCCATTCACCCATCTAGATTTCTTTTCTTTCATAGATGTTTTCCTAAACTGCTTGAAGGTTGCTAGTGCAGGAGAACCATTCTGCATCATTTTGTTAATAAACAAATATATCTAGCCCTTATAAATGAATTTACTGTGACATCTATGTAATACAGCACTTTGCACACATGCAGAAAAGCATAAACAGAGCAGCATGCATTAAAAACAAGAAACAAACATTGTAAACACAAAAACATACATCGATAAACATCATCTTCTCTTTGTAGTTTTCAGTGATTGCTCCTTCTCACTCATGGAAAGAACAAGAGCCTGTTCAGCAAAGTCATATTCTGCTAAAATCTGAATGCAATGGATTCTGCTTCAGCAGGAACCAATTTTAGTTTCTCTCACCACATTCATCCCTCAAGTTCTTTTCCAATTTAATAACTACAGCCTCCATCAACAAAGCCTCTCCAATTCATAACTCTGTTTCCCAATTCTGTAGTTAGATCTCCCATATGCACAAGTTATTTCCCCTTTATTTATTTGTAAGATTTATACTCCACAAGGAGCTTAAAGTGGCATACGCAGCACACTTTCTTGCCATTTTTGCACAACAGTCCTATGTGGCAGGTTGAAGAGAGAGAGCATGGCTTCCCCAAAGTAGTGAGCTCCTGTGGTTGAGGGTAGGCTTGTATCTAGGTCTCTCTGGTGCTGAGTTCAACGCTTAACCACACTGGCTCTATCCGTGAAATATAAATGTAGTGCATGACCCTTTCCCATTTCCCCCCACTTTTTTCCAGATAAGAATTATTCCAACAAACATTACAGGATCTAGCATATTCGCCACCCAGAGTCACTTGGATTGACATGGGCAACTATAGAAATTGCATAAATAAATAAATAAATAAATTTTGGGGTGCCACATTTTGTGCTCCAAAGGCCACAGTTAGCCTTTCAGTGACTTCCTAGGGGACATGATTTTTTAAAACGTAAAACTTGATTAATATTACATATATAAATGTGGTATTACACCATGCATTTAATTAGTTTCTTTTCTACTATGTTAAAGGATAATATTAAAAGGATAATTTGGCAGAAACATTTGGAAGAGTTCTGGCGACTGCATTCTAATTTGATCAGCCACATGGAGCCCTGGGCTTTGTACATGTGATTCACTCAAATATCATGAAGCTCAGGTCAAAAAGAGTGTGAAATGGTCTGGGGACCTGAGTTAGAGAAATTGGGAAGTGTTTGAGGAAGGGGGAGTTTTTTTGTTTTTTTGGAAATATATCACGGACTGAAACATTGGGCAAGTGTTGCTCAGAATGACTGCTCTGTATTATGGTACACCCCTTTCGCCTGCTACACCCATAAGTTGAAGAATGTGGCGCAGGAGTGCTTATTCAGTGTTTATTCAGGATCTATAAGTGATTATCTTCCTCAAACTGCAAGGCACGGACTGACATCCACACACAATTCTTCCTCTCTCCATTAGCTGGGGAAAATTAATTTGCACAATATGGCAACTTGTGTCTTCTCCTTCTCGCTGTCCAATTTTGCATAAAGAGTAGCCTCTGTCTTAATTCTATAAGAAAGAGAGAACCTGTCAGTAAGAGAATTTGGGATGCCCATGGGATCCAAAAGATTGAATTCAATCACACTATTTTCTGAAGTCTACTTAAATGTATACATTGCCTTTTTCTATCAGTTTGCATGCATGAGGAAAAAAGGCTGGCTTCTCTTCCAAACAGGCTTGTTTTTCAGAGGATAAAAGAATGGAAGGTGCTTGCTATTCTGCTGTTTTCACAAAAAAAAAATAAAAAATGACAGGCCATTGTGTGCATAACTCAGAGGGCTGTGAATTATTTTTTTCCAGAGTGTTTTCATTTCACTGCACTTTGGAGTTTCCAGTTCAAGCCAAGGTTGTAGGACTGCCAGAAGAGCTCTGGGAAAGATTGTCTCTTCCTAGCATTTCCACTTGGACAGAAGACAGTTTTCAGTCTAAAGTTGAATCTTAGGAAAAATCACCAAAGATGGCTTAGATCTGGGGTAGATGGGGGTATCAGCCTATGTTCACTTATGTCAGCTTTGTGTTTGTTCATAAATCCATTCCATTCCATTCCGATTTCACATTAATCAGTGATTTTTTAAAAAAATATTAGCATGAAAACTTTCATATAATGCATACATACACACACAAACACAGATTTCTAGATGTGTGTAAAACGAAAATATGCATTTTTATTTTGGTATTTTTTAAAAGCTGATTTTGCATTTGAGAAATGAGCTGACTGGAAGATTTAGCTTGGGCCAGAATTGGGATTTTGGAAAATAGACTGACTCAACTTGAACTGGAAGTAACTTGGGACCTGAATCAGAACTGAGAATCATACCTCTGGTTGACAAATGTGGGAAAATTACAGATAGCTGTCCCATTTTCTTTTTCGTCTTTAACAGAATAGGATAAACTTTTCAGAGCCAGCAAATCTGCCAAGTTCCATAGAAATAAATGCAGAGGCTTTGGACCCAACTTTCTTTAAATTCTATAGGCTAGAAGGATAATGAGAAATGTAACCAGGTTGGAAAATTGATCTTGAACCTCATGTCACATTAATTTATCAGTTCCTATCACCAGTCAGTCTCAGTAGGTGGCAACTTTGTCTGGTTAGTACTTGGAAGGGAGACCACCATGGAATAGCTAAGAGTGTAGGCTAGACTCAGAAGACTTTTTAGAAAGTTCCAAAAAAAGAGAATAGAAAACTACCTGCAATGGTATGTGGGAATGACCTTGGGAAACAGGAGAAAGAGACACAGCCTAGACAT